AACTACCCTTGCTGTGATTTTATGGAAAGATAGATAGATAGATCAGGTAGAATGAAGTAGTTGGTTTCAGCATCTTCACAGGTGCAACACTGAATCCGGAGATGGTGCTGATGCAGCAAGACGCAATGCACCTTCAGACCAATTAAAAATCCAGAATAGTGTAACTGAGAAAGTTGATAATGAGAAAAGAGAGATTGCTTGTAGATTTAACTGAACTTTAGCAAACCTCAGATCTTTTATTTTGTTTAAGGGACATTTAGAATAATATAGATATAGAGGACAGATTATTAGTCGAGACAAATTCAGAAACATGTCTGAAGAACAAAAAATAGAGAAGTTCCAAATGCTTTACTTTCAATGTGATTTGTATACTTGCGAATACACCGTGCGTAATAGCCGGCTGTCAGTGTGTTATGGAAACGTTTAGCGCAAGGCATGGGCCAAACCATGTTCATGCTCCAGCAAATGTTAATTATTATTAAAAAAAAAAAGTTTTTGCCTATTAGTTTCTAAATGTAAGACACCTGGTGTGAGCTTGTCGGAAACTAGAAACGAGTAAACCAAAATTTAAGTTTGAGATTCATTTCTCTCTCACAGTATGTTTCACCACGTGGATTTGATTTAGTGAGCTGAACTCTTTTTCTTCCCCTCCTCTCTTACAGAATCCAACATGTGTGACGACGAAGAAACTACCGCCCTTGTGTGCGACAATGGCTCCGGTCTTGTAAAGGCTGGCTTCGCCGGAGACGATGCCCCCAGGGCCGTGTTCCCCTCCATCGTCGGCCGCCCCCGTCACCAGGTAAACAGCAGAGAAAATTCCCATTGATAATGATAGGAGAGACTAACTAAAAGTATGCTTACTGATTGTAGGTTATGAAAAACGATTACTGTAATAATTACACCATTCATCCAATATAGAAAAACAATTCGGTTTACACTATATTTTACAGAAAAATAATTTTGACACTCTTACAGGCAGTTACACACTCTTTTGACTCCTACTGAAGTGAATAATTAATTTAACTGAGATTTAGATATTTTAGTGTTAGAATTTAGTTGTTTTGTACAGTTAGATAATAATAGGCGATAACAGCGTGGCATTATGTGTCGTGAGCCATGTAAATGTGCTCGTTTTAGCACCAGCAATGTGGCCTTTGACTCTTTGAGACTAAATTAGTCACAAATGTACCAACAGTCACACAATTACTCTCTGTCATGTCCCTGTGAGCCACGCTGTTATTTGGCACATTCACGCAATGGTCAACGTGCCTTTTGCATCACACAGTAAAGACTTTAATCTGGCCAGGAGAAGGTCATACCTCTGTTTGGATAATTTGATGTAACCTTTCCATTATCTTGCCCTCTCCTCCCCCTTCAGGGTGTCATGGTCGGTATGGGTCAGAAGGACTCCTACGTCGGCGACGAGGCCCAGAGCAAGAGGGGTATCCTGACTCTGAAGTACCCCATCGAGCATGGTATCATCACCAACTGGGACGACATGGAGAAGATCTGGCACCACACCTTCTACAACGAGCTGAGAGTGGCACCCGAGGAGCACCCCACCCTGCTCACTGAAGCCCCCCTGAACCCCAAAGCCAACAGAGAGAAGATGACCCAGATCATGTTTGAGACCTTCAACGTCCCCGCCATGTATGTGGCCATCCAGGCTGTGCTGTCCCTGTACGCTTCCGGCCGTACCACCGGTAAGACTGACAACAACAAACAGCTGCTACTCATCGCACAGATTCACATAATACAAAGAGACAGTAGCCTTTATTATAGAATATATAATGCAACTGACTTATGTAACTAATACAACTATACAACAATTGCAACACATAATATCAACTGAGCTATTAATAAGGCGCCCTTTCGCCATGGTGCCCATTTTGCGCACTACTTTTACGCACAGTCGGCCAGCCTTTCTGGGACTGTTAGTTCTCTTTTATGGCCCTTATGACATTCACATTCAGTCTGTATTTGTAAATTCTCATTCAAGCACCCACTTCAGGCACACTTTTACGCTCAAACCTAACATGTTTGTGGACCTTTTTGTCGTCTGGACTCTACTAAACTCTAGCCTTGCCTCTCCCCAGGTATTGTGCTGGATGCTGGTGATGGTGTGACCCACAACGTCCCAGTCTATGAGGGTTACGCCCTGCCCCACGCCATCATGCGTCTGGACTTGGCTGGTCGCGACCTGACCGACTACCTGATGAAGATCCTGACTGAGCGTGGCTACTCTTTCGTGACCACCGGTGAGGAACTCGGCCTACTCCAATAACTAAGCACCTGAAAGAAAGAAGCAACCCTAGACCAGCTTTTAGGCAGACAAAGTGGAATCTAAATTATTATCGAACTTCATATTTTATTTGACCAGCAGTTTTGCTATAGCAACAAAATGTAACAGCAGCCTGACCAACAACAACAAAACCTAAAAGCAGCGTGTGTGGCCTATTGCTGCCTGTGTGCGGACAGTGCCCGACAATGCTACTGAAAATTAGGCTTACTAAATGAATTATTAAAATCGATTAACAGACTTGGTGAAAACGGAATGTGTGTTTAAGAAAACAGAACATTTTTTCCAGCTTTCGTAACTTTTGTAGATCAGCGCACTTAATTACGCACACGGTGTCTGTGGTTTGTTTGTCACTCCGGACAAACTCTCATCAACTTGTCTCCCAACAGCTGAGCGTGAGATCGTGCGTGACATCAAGGAGAAGCTGTGCTATGTGGCTCTGGACTTTGAGAACGAGATGGCCACCGCTGCCTCCTCCTCCTCCCTGGAGAAGAGCTACGAGCTTCCCGACGGTCAGGTCATCACCATCGGAAACGAGAGGTTCCGTTGCCCTGAGACCCTCTTCCAGCCTTCCTTCATTGGTACGTCATATAATCCTTTATTTATTCTCTTAGTACGCACAGTAGATATTGCGCCAAACTAGATACCCCTCTCCTCTTAACACTTGTCTCTCTCACCTGACCAGGTATGGAGTCTGCCGGTATCCATGAGACCGCCTACAACAGCATCATGAAGTGCGACATTGACATCCGTAAGGATCTGTACGCCAACAATGTGCTCTCCGGTGGTACCACCATGTACCCTGGTATTGCTGACCGTATGCAGAAGGAGATTACTGCTCTGGCCCCCAGCACCATGAAGATCAAGGTACATATTATGATACCAAAAACATTACAGTTCATCCCCAAATTGAAATATTTTTAATTGAATGATTACGCATGACAAATGTGAAGCACTGGCGCTTTACTGATCCATTTTGTCTCCCTCCCTCTCCTCCAGATCATTGCCCCCCCCGAGAGGAAATACTCCGTCTGGATCGGTGGCTCCATCCTGGCTTCCCTGTCCACCTTCCAGCAGATGTGGATTTCCAAGCAGGAGTACGACGAGGCAGGTCCCAGCATTGTCCACAGGAAGTGCTTCTAAATCATCCACCTTCATCTCCACCACCAGCTATCTGGAGATCAAGCAAGACGGAGGATCACCCTCTGCGGCACAGCAACACTCTGCTGTCAATGGACTGTCTGTCTGCGCTGTTGACATTCATATGCATTTTTTATTCTTTTAAAATGTGCATATTGTTTAGCTGTTTGTTGTCTGTGTTGCACAGAGAAAGGCTGTGAAATCCACCACTGAACCATGCATCCACCCAAAAGAAAACTTTAATAAAAAAGAATAACAACATGTTTTCCAACACATGTGAATGTAAGTGTATATACATATTGATAATTTATTAAAGTCCATTATTTGGTATTTTTGACCCTGGCCTTGTTTTTCTATTAGAGGGAGGGTAGTGGGAGAGGGGGAAAAACAAAAGCTTTGGGGAAATAGAAATACTGGAATGTGGACGATTTAACATAGAGGTATTCAAAAACCAATCTGCCCTCAAAACCATGAAAGTCTTATTCATTTGGGGGAGTAATAACCAAAAGCGTCACAACAATGAAGTCTGGGAGAGGCTTAAGGGCTTGAGCACAAGTGTACCTGACACACTTTATACCGCATAAACCAATCGGCTGATCAGGTGCCAGGGGCAGTTCATAGAGGTCGATAGGGGTGTTACCACGGCTCTGGACGGACGAGGAGGAGGGAGGGTGTCTTTCTCTGTCCCATCAGTCACTGCTGGCTGGGGGCTTCTGGGCGACAGAGGTAGTGAAAGGTGACGCCTAAGGTCCGACAGTCGGAGTCTGACTTGCCAGGAATGTGCCAGGGAAGCAACAGCAGCTCCGCTTTAGACCGAGCGGATCAGGGACACCCGACACCCGGCTCTGAATCCCGTTGAGCTGTCTGCCCTGCACGAGCCTACGAGCAGCTCCGGCTCCCAGACCATCTTTAGGCAAGGCCAGACCCGCAGCCCTACCATATATGCATAAGCTCATCAGGTTAACTGGGTGTGGGCTTTGGGTCTAGCCTCAAAGCACAATATAGTATGTTGGGGGCGCACCACCCTGTGCCCACATCATTTATATTGATCTATCGCCAAGCCTAACACCCGTATTTATATTTCTTAACCCCTCGGTTACAGGTAGACATATACAAGACAAATGTAGCCTAAATGCCTAAATATTAAGATGGGTATAGTGGTATATACATTTTGGGGCCATTGGCGGCAAAGTAAAGCACTGTTTAGCCCAACAAGTGACTCAATTAAGCTCCAATAGTTGTTGAATATATGCCTTGTGTCTAAATACAGTAAAATAATCGTCTTTTCATCATATTTCACCATCTGATAGAAATGATTATCGTCAAAAGTCATTCATAAACGCCCCGACCGCATTGCTGGCATCCCGGTCCGGGCCACCTGTTGCGGGTGTTTGGCTTTTTAAAAACGTCTTCACGCGGGCGGAGCTAAGAGACGCAGCCAAGATTACAGCAGCACCGTGAGCGCCATCTGTTCTGCTTTGCTTCCGTGAAATCCGAGCCCGGTGTAAGTATATTTACTGTACACACATTTAGACTCTTACAGCACTGAATTTCTGCTGTCAAGCCATGCACTGTTCTAGATGAGGGGGGGATGGATTGTGAGTGATATATTAATACCTTTTGGTTGTTATCTGCAAGCGCTGATGCGAGTATTGGTGCTCCATATTATCACATGATTTACTCACATCTTTCATTAACACGGACACATCTGTTATGATGATGAGCATAATGAGTAACGGGTTAATTGTTTAACCAATATATTGACATTGTTACTGTGTTGTAGCTAGTTGATATGACACAATCCATGGCGACGATTTTATGTGCGCATTTTTTCAAAGCCTTTGAATACAACAGCAACGTATTTAAGTAATTCAAAAATACAGTTTCAGTGATTTGTAGCACAACAGGCTATAACGCCTCAAGTGTTTTCATACAATAACTACGGTTGGGCTGACCTTTAATTCTGAATATACGCGTTTAGATCGTTGGAGCCAATCAGAGGACGAGATGACTCCTACGTCATCACGTTCAAGGATTTCGGCAGTTAACGTTGTAATGGATAATTCAGACTTCGGCCAGTTTTAAAAGTGCGACGCCGATTGAGTTTACAGAACATAAACCCAAATTATTTATCTCCCCAAAACTAGACTCGTATGTCCGCCCACAGGAGCCCAGCGAGGCCAACCAGCTTCGGGGAGAAGAGGAAGTAGGCGGGTGTTGTAGCCGGGGGAAGCCTCCAGCTGCTCTGCCATAGGTTCTAACGCTTTACATGTTACAGTTTAAATGTCTGGCGGTGACACCGATCCTCAAAAGACCTGCGAACGTTGAAAACATCGTAGCTGGTGTTTGCGAATGCTTTGTTTTAGGTTATAACACAGTTGTTACTGCAAATATAGTATAACATTACACACCTCATAGACCTGTTATGTGTGTGTGTGAAGTTTATGCATATTCATTTTATGTTCTCTGTAGTATTGTAACATTGTAATATTATATAGGTGGAGGCTTGAAATAAGCCCAGTTGGCTTTTTGCCTCTTCCTGCACTGTGATATTGATTTATCTCATTTATCTAAGCAACGGTAGCTTTTCACGAAATTGGAGAATCTTTACAGCTTTTGCGGTCTGTTGATGGATTTCAGTTCAAGATGGTGGCCAAGAGGATCCGCTCGGAGTACATGAAGAAATTCAAAGACCCCAAATGGGAGACCTACAGTAAGTGTTACGAGGAGATGCTGAAGTACAGGCTGACCCGCAGGCTGCTGGAGCACACACACAACCCCTGGTTCTGGAGTGACTCCGACAGTGATTCAGACTCCGGAGGAAGAAGTCCCCCCCCTCCCAGTAAGAACCAGGTAGGGCCCGAGACCAGCAGAGACAGGACGGAGGTGGAGTTGGAGGAGTGTGAGGGGGCGAGGATGGACAGACAGCAGGAGCAGCTGAGCAGAGCCACCGGGACCATACCCAGGCTTCCCCTTCCAAAGGAGGAGAATGGGTCTGCAGTCCATGGTACATGTGATTTAAGGACTGTACAACATATTGGGATGTTCACAAGCTACTCTTCTGTAACATATGACATTCACTCCTCTCAGGCTCTCAGCTTAAAGGTGCCAGAGAGACAGAAGTACCGGAGGAGGAGAGAGAGGAGCGGACTCACAGTCAAGACGGAGGTAAAGAAGAAAACATAGATGTGATGAGTAGTAGGGTGATGGCAGAGAGGCCGACTTCCCCCACGCGGGGACGAAAAGAAAAAACATTGTATAGCAAAATGACTAAAAGCTTAATTTGAAGCTACTCAGAGCTTATTCTACACATTATAGCTTTACAGTGATTTAGACTGGGTAGGTCCTAATATAAAGTTCATATTTCATCAATAATTTATACGTTTTTTGTAGACACAACTATTTAAAAAAACCTCTGCAAAACTCAAAATGACATGTCAAATATAGACACCCTCCATTCAGCACCTGCAACAGACAACCAAAAAACACACCAACAGGGCCACCTACTGCACGGGAGCAGCACGGCCGTCACAGCTCATACAAATAAACAAAACTACATTCATGGGATTTAATACAAACATATGAGAGGTGATGGAAGTTTCACCCAATGCTCCCTTATTATATAGAGAGTAGCACAATTTTGCTATTAATAATAATAGCATCACATTGTTAAACAAGTAACACACAATATATCAAATTGGGGAAGCAGAGTGATCCAGGACAGCCTCACTATTCATTCATAAATCTTGACAGAGATATTGTATGTCTGCATTGCTTAGTTTCTTGCAGATCATTTTTCTCCAAGGAATTTACTGCATACACATTCGAATTGACCAGTTTTATTGTGTATTTCTGTGCTGCTTTAACCTGTTTGTATTTTCTATTTGTAGAGAGAGACACTGGAGGAGCCAGACCAGAGCAGAGTAAACCCTCCAAATCCTCAAAGCAAACATGGCGCTCCCAGCGAGTCAGGCCTGCACCAACGCGGCCGCCCAGGGACGACAGTAAGGACGGCAGACATCCTTTTGCTCTGTACGGTTCAGGAGAGAAGGATGCCGACACGGCAAGCAGGAAGACACACAATGTTGGCGCTGCAGCTTCTACTACTGAGGTAATAGTTATTTCTGGGGATCTACCGGTGACACGCTGTGTTGTGACTGAGCACAAGTTTATCATGACGTTTATTCTCCCGGTAGATCCACGAGTCGGCTCTTCGTGCTAAGATCCGGCGGGAGGTGGAGCGTCAGATGCAGACCCAGAAGACTGAGCGGCGGAGAACCAAGTCTGCCGATCTGGACAAGGCCAGAAAGTTGGTTCAACCAGAATTCAACCCCTGGCTCACCGAGTACATGCGCTGCTTCTCTGCTCGCTCACGATAGGACACTTACATACACACACTCAAAATACTTACATCAGGGTGATTCCAGACAAAAATACAAAGTTAAAGCCATTATTGCCTACTGCCCTTGAAGTTTAAATATCCATAGCTGTAGAATAGAGCATGGGGTGGATTGATTCATACAAAGGCTCCAAAATGTGTATTACACCTGCATTCAGGATGTAAACTGACAAAACTTTTAAATTCACTGTGTGGCTTATTCCTCCAGATGTGTACTATCGTGTTTTTACGTGAATCAATTTTAATATATATGTACAACAACAACCATTTTACAGGGTATAAGAGACTCTTGTAAGAGATGATTTGAAAGTGTAAGTATAATTTGTGGATTCGTCTACTGAATGCAGATATTTTGATTAGAATGAAGAGTCTAAAATGCCTTTTACAGCCATACTTCGTTAAACAGAGGCTATACAAGACGTGTCCATGTCTTTGATACAGGGATATCAAACCACATTGGACTAACACAGGAGTAGTGAAGGCACATGGCAGCGTGTCTGGATAGAGTCAGCCATGTTCTTAAAAACGCTTCTGAGATCTAATTTATAGACAAACACATGTAGACAAAACCAAACACACTTTCAGAAATATGTCTGGAAAAGACTTTTACAGCTTTTTATTTTCAGATCACTTATCGCTGTGACCTGGGTCTTGTAGATTTAATGAGTTTTGTAACAGTTCATGGATCAATCTTTAGATAAATAGTGAATCACACTCCGTCAAACTCAAACTCTGTGTAAAATCACAGTTGTGTGATGTGACACATTTTCTCACGAGCTTTTTGCAGGAGGGCTCGAATGAACGGACAGTGTTATTGACTAAAAATAGTTTCACAACAACATTTGTGTTTGTTGTTTAGTTGTGTTAATGTGCACTTACAGTAATGTGAACATATCTATTTGACTTTTGGATGACTGAACATTGTGTTTCTGTGGTACTGTGGATACTGCAGAGTTTCTGTTATACACTGACTCATCATGGGACTCTATAACAAAAAAAAACATTTAAAAAATGTCAGGTTCAGGTTCCTGCGAAGCATAACAATCAATTTTTGAGGCCAAATATCTTTATCATGACTGTTTCTGCTTTAGAACCAAAAATGGAACCAAAACAACAGCAGACATTAAGCTGACGCCTAGATGACCGTCAGAAGTACATGAACACATATTCCTGATTTACTGTTTACTTCTTCAAGCAGTTTATGCTCTAAAGCAGGAGCACCACAGCACTTTGATAATTAGTCACCTTTCTGAAATAATGTGTAGATATTAATGTAGATACAGAATTCCTTGCTACCTATTTGGCTTTTTGTGTAATTTGTTCATCATTTGAATCTACTTACATAAGAAAACAAAAATGGACTTTTAATCCTTTGTGTAATAGATCTGGTGTTTTTATGAGAATCAGATCCCTCTGTGTCCTTGTGTCAGTCGTCGTTCCATAAAAACTGGAGAAAAGACTTTTTCTCCTTTGCACAACTGTATGTATTGATGTTATTGATGTGAATATTGTGCAGAAAAAAAGGGACATTTTTGATAATTTATAGCAGTAATCACATATGATCATCCTACTCAATAAATTTAATCAGGCAAAGTGGAGAAGAAATAGAGTTTATGACCAATAAGGCACCAGGAGTACTTTCATCTCACTTCTTGACAAACTCCACAGTGTCGAGTCTGGTTTTAGTGGAAAAGCTTCTGCTGTTCCTCACATATATAATTGATGACATAAGGAGCATAACAATTACAGAATACTGTAATTGTAAAATGGCATGATACTTAACATTTCTATGTTTAAATCTTAGGCTTTAAACTGACTTGTGTACATATTTTATTTGGAGGAAAAGAAGTTAAATGGTGTGGTGCAAAGCTTTTTAATAAATCACTTTTTTTGCATCTGTTCATCTCCACCAAACTACACATATTATTCAGAAAACTAAGAAATTAAATCTCTTTAAAGAAAAACCATCAACAAAAACATGGATTAAACCAACAAAAGCTGCTTTTCAAAGACTGCTATATTTGTCGTAGTTTTTATTTAAAAAACATATGCTTTTATTATACACAATAAATTAAAAATCCATGATATTCATAATGACAAGAGAAAAACAGACATAAATAGACAAAGGACTTGATGACATAAACACAAGACGGCGACCTGACGTGGAGCAGCCAAAGCCACCAGAAGATGAATTCTAATTTTAAATATTTCTAGTTTGAAGTGTGCTTGATTTAAACATAATGCATAATTGTCAAGGGTCTAAAATGTTATAAATAATAAAAACATAAATGTGTTGTTGTGATGCTTGAATACACCTACGCAAAACACACCTAAACCTAATTCTTCAAAGAAATTCCCCAGTTGAATTGTTTTGTGTCGAGAGCTTCATGTGGCTGAACTGAGCATCAAATATCTTTGGAGACAAATAAAAATCAAACACACATCAGATAGTTTCATACTGTTGCTAAAACTTGAAATGCATTCAGTGTTACCCCACAGCTGCAGGCAGTCAGTGAGGCATTCATGTAAACAGGCGTCACTTATAAATGAGAGGGATCAGTCATTGGATTCTTTTGGATAAAAGGAGTGTTTCATTTAACTGAATGGTAAATGCTGAGCATACCACTGTAAATTAAAAGATGACATGACTTTCACACTCCATTGATCATAATATTTCTATATTTCTTTTTTGCAATCTATAATCTTGACAATGATAAAACAGCATTTTCCCACGTAAACATGTAAGTCCATAATATAATCCACATCAGCTTGTCCCAGTCACAAACAGTACTGACCATCTATACTGCTTACATGTTGCCAGTGTATTGTGGCTTAACATGTTATTAATTCAATGGAGCATAAAACAGATTCTGGATATGATATCTACTTTAATATACATATAATATCTCTTCATAATGAAATACTCTGATATTCTGTTTGAGAAAACATGCATCAGTCTATATACAGAAACACTGTACAGTGTACAAGATGCTGTAGGGCAACGGAGGAGATTCAGAGAGATACTTTACTGGGAGAGTAAGTGTGTAAGACGGGATGCAGGGAGTGCAAAATGTATTGTGTTGTGTTTAAAACAGGAAGTTAACAGGCAATCGGAGCCGTTGTGTAGCAAAGAGAACTTCCATAGTAGGGGAGGCTTTTGGATATGCATGTAGTTTGACAAAAGAAAAAAGTCATGCCAAGAATTATGTGAGAAAAATTGATACAATGTATCAAGTATTAATCTGGGGCCAGGAGGCGAAGAAGCAGACTTGGTTAGCCTAGCTAGATCTAAAATTCCAAAATCCACCTCATAGCGCCTTAAAAGCTGTCTAATTAACATGTTACTTCTTCTTTCTTGAATGCAAAAGGAAAGACATTTCTAAAAATGTAAACTTTTCCTTTAAAAAGGACCAGTGTGTAGGATTTAGTGGGATCTAGCTTTGAGGTTGCAGATTGCAAAAAAATGATTAAAACAGGAAGATGACTTCTATTATTTTTTTTCAGCCTATAGATCCTCCTACACCCTACACACTGGTCTTTCCAGTATTCAAGATGGAAAGTAAATGGGAATAGTGATAAGGGAGAAAACTAAGATGTAGGGTTAGCAGGTGTGAGGGCAGATAAGTAGAAAGGTGGGGTGGGGGGGGAGAGAGAGAGCGAGAGAGAAGTTACGTACATGTCAGTAATACACATCCTGATTGGAGGGCTAGGAAAGGTCTGGTCCAATAGTGGAGCAGAATGTGGTGGGCTGTCTCTGGTTACCTTGGAGAGATGCTCAGAGTTCTGAGAGGGGGGGGAGGGGGGGCAGCCATGACAACAAAAGTTCTGAAGGTTCTGAAGATTGGTGTGAAAGGTGAAAGGTCGGAGAGGAATCACCAGCATAGCGAGGTGAACCCTGGGTCCCCCGTGGCTGTTCTTCTCCTGGTCTTCACAAGCCCGTCAGAAACACACTGATCACACAGAGACGTAGAACTTAAACACATGTTGGGGGAAGGAACAAAGACAAAGACTTATCGACCCAATGAGCAACTCTTATTCACTCATTATTGGGGGAAGAATTGCAGAGGTACGAGCTACTTCCTGTTTGCAAGCAAAGGGCCTGCTGACCCAATATCGTGTGAATGAAGTCAACTTCATTAAAAGAGTAAGTCTGGTGATGTAGCTTATTACTCTCTGTACTTACATTGTGGTCCAACAACAATGAAAGCACGTCAGTGAGCATTGCACTGCCTGACAAAAGTCTTCACAATGGTGGACATGGGCACTGTAGTTTGCTGTAGCGGCTGGAAATACTCCCCCTAAAATACCGTATTCACTATTTTTTGAGTATTGTTTCCTAAAAGGTACAGTGCCCAGTTTTTTTGATACAGACAAATAGGGAAAACAAATGCACTGTAAGTATTGTATTGGTGTACCCATTGTATTGGTGTATTCATGGGCTAAGTTGACAAAAACAAAATAAAAAATATCTTTAGCCTCATCCTTTAAGTGACTAGTGAATGATTACCAGCATGTACATCTTTCAGTATCGTCTCAAAGATGCCTCCTCTCACATTTATTAAAGTTTGGAGCAAGTTTGAAAATGCAGTAAAATAAATAAGTTTTTGATTAAACTAAAACTGCTCTTAGAAAATAAAAGAATCCTTCCACTCTGAGTTTGTTTTCAGACTGGGGTAAATCTGAAGATGAGTGACAGCAGACAAAGAATGTCTGAGAGTAATGAGCAGTATGTTAAGTCACTTCTCTGGCTCTCTTAATGAAAGACATTATTCTGTGGCATAAAACAGAATGAATATCATCATCTTACGTAAGGCACACACAGTCCAAACACACCGGCCCTTTCACCTTGTCTGTGTGTGTTACTGGGCGCGTCCACTAGCAGCCACACTCCTGGGTGCCCTGTGGCTGAGCACGGCGAGGAGAACGAAGCTGTCGTAACGCAGCGTCGCCATACTGGATACCTGAGCCCATCCTCTCTGGATCCAGCTCGCCTGAAAATCAACAGACAAGATGAGTGAGGACAGAGACGTGAGAGATTTGGGCTTCATGTTGTGATCTCCACCAATTCTGAAAAAATGGCATTTTTTTTTGTTGTTGCAAATAATAGTTTTTTAATAATGAATTAAGTTGTTTTGGCTTTCACTTTGAAGATTCTCGATGAGGACTGCTACAGTGCAGGCTCTGGAGTCATACCTAAGCCTGTCTGATCCTGTGAGGATAAGAGGGGATTCAGAGTCGGGGGTCATGGTTATAGGTGAGGATGGCAGTTCCTACCTGACTCTATCTTGTTGAGGATTTTCCGAGCGCACTGGACAAAGGCCTCTTCAACGTTCTCTCCTGTTAGAGCGCTGGTCTCCAGGAACATTAGCTCTGACACACACACACACAAACACACACAGCAGTCTTAAAAATAGATTTACTCTGAGCAGCATAATTATTTACACAACCAAAGTAAATTGCAATAATTTCAGAAAAATCTAGATGCTGATTACGTGCCAAAAAAAATCCTTCCACTAACAATAACAGGTCAAAGCCTGGATCTCCCTTCTCCTGAGAGAAACTAGTACCCCAGTTATTATTAGAGGTTTTGAGAGGAACTATCAAAGCATCACTACATCACAAACTGTTGAGCCTACCGTTCTCCTGAGCGAAGCGGGAAGCCTCCAAGAACGTGACCTCTCTGTCCGCGTCCAGGTCCTTCTTGTTCCCACAAAGGATGATGACGATGTTCTGACTGGCCAGCATCCTGGCATCACTCAGCCATGTGGTCAGAGCGTTGTAGGTCTCTCGACTGCAGCGTATAGAGGCAGGAAGGGTTATATTGTAGAAAGGAGAGGGGAACTGATGCCGAGGCAATCTGAAATCATGTGCTGCGATTGGCTAGAGTGATTTACCTTGTGATGTCATAGACCAGCAGAGCTCCTGCTGCACCTCTGTAGTAACTCCTGGTCACAGACCTGAGAGAGAGAGATAGAGGGAGAGACAGAGAGAGACAGAGAGACAGAGAAAGAGAGAGAGAGACAGACAGAGAGACAGAGAAAGAGAGAGAGAGACAGACAGAGAGAGAGAGAGAGAGAGAGAGAGAGACAGAGAGAGAGAAAGAGATAGAGAGAGACAGAGAAAGAGAGAGAGAGACAGAGAGAGAGAGAGAGAGAGACAGAGAGACAGACAGAGAGAGAGAGAGAGAGACAGACAGACAGAGAGAGAGAGAGAGAGAGAGAGAGAGAGAGAGATAGAGAGAGACAGAGAAAGAGATAGAGAGAGACAGAGAGAGACAGAGGGGGAGAGAGAGAGAGACAGAGACAGAGAGAGATAGAGGGGGAGAGAGAGACAGAGATAGAGAGAGACAGAGACAGAGAGAGACACACACACACGTCAGATGTACTTACACGTGTGTTTGACACGTCAGAACATCAGTGTTCCTGAAACGTGTATCTGTTACCTCGGTCTTTCACCAGAGCAGTCAAGTGTGGTACAATAGATTTAAACAGTATGCATGTGGTTGAATAGAAATGACGTATGTGCACAGGGTGTTCAGAAAGAGGGTAAAGGGATTAAATTAGCTTTGTATGTATTTTTCCCTACCTGAACCTTTCTTGTCCTGCTGTGTCCCAAATCTGCAGTTTGACCATTTTGTTGACCACATTGATGATCTTGGAGCCAAACTCTACTCCAATTGTGTGGTTGGATTCATCCTTAACTGGAAGACAAAATAAAATGGGTTTATTATTAGATGCAATACATAGTGATGACCTACAGTGTGTCTTTTCAGTGAGGAAAAGGCACATGTCACTGATCATTAACTGGAATTCTCTACCAAACATTGAAAAAGGCTCATCTAATTGATGTGTGTTGATTACTAAACCCTGCAGTACTGCACTGACATTAGAGGTGAGAGCAACTGTCTGTCAACAGTACATAACGAACGGCGTGTTGTATCTTTCCGACTTACATCTCTTCTCTATGAACTGGTGCAGCAGACAGGATTTGCCCGTTCCAGCGTTCCCAATCACCAGGAATTTAAACAGGAAATCTGAGGCGAGAGAACACAGAAATGAGCGTGTAATACATCCGACACAATATTTGTCTGTTATCATGATTGTCATACCTAGAGCCAGAGCTGTGCCATTATTATCTGGACGATATTAGCTTATCACAGCTATATTGATATCAACTTATATATATATAAGCCATCTGATATGAATTAAGACATTGCAGTACAGAAATGTCAAAAATATGTTTGTGATAGTGTAGAAACAGTGTTGTTCACAGTAGAGGATTTGTAAGTTATTATTAACAGTAAAATGTTGTGCTAAGTACATATCTTGGTCACAATTATTTAATAACCATATTTAATTCTGTGTGTTTGTGCTCTCATATATTGATGTTACCATTTCCCACAAAAGTACATACCGTCCTAAAACACATATGAACAGAATACAGCATAGTAATACACAGCTTTAGGGTGTACAAATATAGTTATGCTTGCACTCTCATATATGGATGGCGGTGGAACTGTGTGCAGTAGTAGTAGCCCCCACGGACCAGTATCGCCTACATATGTACCCCCTACATCTCGTGTACTATGACTATGATACAGAGTACACGTCTCAGTCTGATCTTCCCACCACCTCCATCATCCTCATCCCTTTTCTCTGGTGTCAGCTTCCTGGAACCTTCACAGACGATATATTTTATCCGCACAGTGATCCGCACAGTGATCCGGTTATACGGTAGTGAAATCTACCGTATAACCGCTATGGTATTACTTTCGCTGACATCGCATTATTTAAAGGCCAGCAGCCTCCCGTTAGCCTGCCTGCTATCTGTTTACGGTGAGAAAAAGCTCTCTCGGCACACCTGCCTCATCCCACCGCTGTGGCTACGCGAATACGTTAACGGCCGCTACTGGTCGAAACAGCCTCCTTACCGTAGGAGTCCGACATCGCCAGTGTGGCGTTTGGACAGCAATAGGAAAGTAAATGAAAAATAGATAGTTGACAAGATGGATAGCTCGCTAAGTTAAGGCAAATAGTCCTGTTGATGATTTCCGCGGATTCTAGCTGATTATTCCCTCCGACTTCCCGTACGTGGTTTGAGTCTCTTTTTTTTTTTTTTTTCAAAATAAAAGCCAAGCCGAGCATGGTAATGATTGAAGACTGCCTCCGGGTGGTGGTGTTTGAGTAGCTAACAGCGCTTTGAGGCTTCTACACACAAACGCCTTTCAATGCCATTACATTTCGTTTGTAATAATCATATCCTTAAAATAATATTCAAATCAACAAAGTATGTAATTATTGTGTGTAGAATTGAGACACCAAAACTACTACAAGCACAACCTACACTCCAGCCCAGAAGGCGGCGGTTATGTACGTTTGCCAACGACCACAAAACCTCTCAAGAAGAAGAAGTGGCTAGTGGGCTAGCCTAGCTGCAGGCTTTATTTAGAGAAATATGGCTGCTGTGCTCCCCGTCAGACCGCCCTGCGACAGCAACCCCGCTACTCCTGGAGCACAATCCATAAAGGTAACATTTATATTCCGCAAACAACAACAACATGAATAATACGTAGCTTGGTTCACGGAGCTCTGCGCGGTGTATTGCTCCGCTAACGGCTAGTTAGCCATCTAACGGCTACTTGCGTCCATGACCATGGCGACGTGCGGATCACTCTTTTGTTTTCAAGTGTGTCCTGAAGGATATAGGGCTCGTTTGTTGTTTCTGTGTCGTGTTGACTAACATTTATTTATGTGATTCATGCCCACAGGAGACACACGCAGTCAAATTGTATTGATATGATACGTTAACCTTTTCTGTGCCTTTGCCTCCCCTGTTACCACCTCTACATGCACGCTCATGCATTTGTTTGGTACTGCCGCAAATGTGTTGTTTGTGCTTGATAAATGGCTCCATGTGGGTAGCCACATATATCCTCCATTCATCCATTCTGCTGTGCAAGGAGAACACTACAGACAAGACCCAAATCTCCGAAATTAAACACATTAATGTAAACTACTGTTGTTTTTGAAGTATTCAAATCTTTCTTGATGCTTTTGGAACAAAATACTAAAGGAAAAAACGATCAAGTCTAAATTACACATTTTTAGGAATGATGCCATTTTCATTGAAGGCTGAGAAGTGATGCTGAGGTCAAAATATGGCAAAATGTTTGAATATGCATGTGTATTACTTATAGTTCAACCTGTTATATACAATCTGAGCTCAACATACAAAGTCTTTAATACATGGCTGACTATTGTGTTTGCATGCTTTCAATCTTTACCTGCTGCCTAGAATGTGTGTAAATTCGTGCAACTGTGACTAACGCCACCAACTGTACAGGTTATTGCTGTCAATTGCTGAGGAATTAAGGCCTGTGCTTGTGTGGGCTGTAGGTCCAAAGGATAAAGAGGTTTAAGAAACAATATGCCAGATTTTGAGCCTGGCTTTATTAATAAGGACCCTGTGAACTTTCCCCATTTGACCCCCCCCAAAAAAAAATAGTGATTACTATACCTGCTGTGAAAAAGTCAAACTACAAATTAGCATAATACAAAGAGCAGCGACATGAATACTCTAGTGAGAGATATCAGGGCTTAAAGAAATGTGATGCTCTTACTGTTTAATTCTTTGGTCTCAACCTATCTCATACACATCCAGTTTGTAAATGCAGGCATGCTCTGTGGATTTTGCCAACATCACATACTATTATTGTTAAATATATGTCAATAATTGTGTTTTCATTTTTCCTCTGTAGGAGGATGTAACAGAAGAAGAGTCCAATGATGGCAGCCAGCCACCCAAAAGAAGGAGAATGGGTTCAGGAGACAGCTCTCGAAGCTGTGACACCTCCAGTCAAGACCTCTGGTAATAAAAATCACAAGGTTTCATTGTTATCATATAATCATCATGTATAATGTATGTGTTAAAACCCAAAGACGTAACTGTAGCCATCCTCAGTCTCATGTGTTTCCCTAATACATACATTATTTTAAAAATACAATTTCCTCATAGCATTTTGGTTTAATTTGCTGTCCTAGCTGAGAACCTCTTGGTCTCTCTCTGCTTCCTATGGTCTTCTCAGTGCTCATAAAAAGACACAGCCAAAGTTTTTAATCCTCAACCCCTGTTCTCTCTCAACCCGCCTTCCAGCCCGACATATTTCCCAGCAGAGAACCTGACAGAGTACAAGTGGCCTCCAGACGACACAGGAGAGTATTACATGCTGCAGGAGCAGGTCAGCGAGTATCTGGGAATCACGTCCTTCAAGAGGAAGTACCCTGGTAAGACCAAAGTAAACATCTGAAACGGTTAACAGTTTAAGGGGTACATTATCTCGTAAAATACGATTGACTCAAGACTATAAAACATTATTGCATAGTTGTTTGTCTGCTGTCATACTGCTGCCAATGTTCTGACCAGATGAAGAAGAAAGCTCTCCCTTGGCCAGTGATGGTGTTTCCTTGTCACTCTGTAGATATGGAGAGAAGAGACTTGTCTCACAAAGAGAAGCTTTACCTGCGTGAACAGAACGTCATCACTGAAACGCAGTGTACTCTGGGTAGGGAACCACACCTAACACTCTCAGACCAGAGAGAAGTATCTACACACAGTGCAAATAGTCCAAGTGTGTGTGTGTGTCAGTGTATCTTTTGTTTCATTTTAGGTCTGACCGCTCTGCGGAGTGACGAGGTGATAGATCTGATGATCAAGGAGTATCCCATCAAACACTCCGAGTATTCAGTCATACTGCAGGAGAGAGAGCGGCAGAGAATAGCTAAAGAGTACGCTGTAAGTACACATCCTAAAAGAAGGCTGATGATACATGTGTGAACACATCTCTTACGCTCTTTGTCTGTTGTCTTTTGTAGCAAATGCAGCAGCAGAACCCTCAGAAGGTGGAGGCCAGCAAGGTTCCTGAGTACATCAAGAAGGCCGCTAAGAAAGCTGCAGAGTTCAATAGTAACTTCAACAGGGAGCGAATGGAGGAGAGGAGAGCTTACTTTGACCTACAGACACATGTAAGTCCAAACGAGAAAACATGATCATTTTGTGAACTAATATTGTTCATTCAGAAAGGTTGCTGTCAATTGTTTGCATGTTCATTATTGAGGAATGAAAGGCTGTGATTTGATGGGTTGTAGATCTAAAAGATAAAAATGTTTATGAAACACTAAGCCATATTTTGATGAAGAAATACAGCCACATGTCTGCTTAAATCAGAAAGAGGGACAGCAACATTCAGACTATCTTTATTGACACCCTGTGAACAAAAAACATTTTTTTGGATATAGTGATTTCTATGCCTGTGGAAATGTCCAACCTCAAAAAAGAGCTTTCTGATTTGTTTTTATTTTTTACATGAATTGTGTTTTGTGTGTTTCCTCAGATTATCCAGGTGCCCCAGGGCAGGTTCAAGGTGCTGGCTCCAGAGCTGACGAAGACAGGGCCTTACCCCGTGGCTCTCATACCGGGACAGTTCCAAGACTACTACAAAAGGTACAGTTCACACTTCGCTAAATGTTTTTACATACAATTTGCCTCTTTTTTTTGTTTTTAAGATAACAAACCCAAACTTCTGTTACCTTTTTGTTCTGGGTGAAACTGGATCTCTAGCACTATATATATATATATATATATATGTATGTATGTATGTGTGTGTGTGTGTGTGTGTGTGTGTGTGTGTGTGTGTGTATATATATGTATATATATGTATGTGTGTGTATATATATGTGTGTATGTATATATGTGTGTATGTAT